ACGTCCGTTCGAAACACGTCCACAAACTTAGACAGCAGTTGTTCCAAGCGCTCGACTTCTTCGTCGCGTAGACCGAGGCTTCGTGCGTCTTCGACCTTCGCCGCCAGAATAGCCTTCACCTCGGCCTCGCAACGTCGACGACGGTCGTCCTTGCTCTCGCCCGGCAGCAAGTCTAGCACAGGGGTAGAGCACTCCATCCCGGCCTCGGGGTCATCGTCCTGGACGGTACGACGGGACGCGGACACCCGATTCACAGCGGCGTCAGCAGACGGCAGGAACTCGCTGTCGGACATGTCCCACTCAGGTTTAAGAGACCGCGCCTTCACGAGCAGCGCGTCCGTAGAGAATCCCAAGGACTCCATCACAGGACGGCTGATAATCAGCGCCACGTCGGCGTCTGCCTCGTCGTCGATCCACACGGGCACGCCACGCAGTAGGAGAGGGCCACACGTCGTCGTGAGCGCCACACTCAGTCGTAAGCGACGGGATAGCATGACCGGCTTGGTCTCCTTCCCGTACGGGTACAGGGCGGTCGGTGTGTCGTCCACCACCACCTGGGTCGCCACGCCCGCCTTCTCAAGCGCCGTAATCAACGCCACGGAGGCCACGTTGACGTTGGCACCCGTGTCAAGCAGCAGGTTCTCAACCACGACAACGTCTGCCACCGTGGCACCGCCTTCTATCTTGGAGCGGTTTGGACCGAGGTCGATAACATTAGCAGTCGGACGCGCCTCGCGGGCGTCCTTCCACTTTTGCATCTGCGCCGCTAGCAGCGCTTGCGCTTCGCCAGGCGCCGTCTTCGGGCAGTCCGTGACCTTGTGAGCCGTAGACTTGCACTTGAGACACGCAGCAGGCTTTCGCGCGGGGGTAGACGGTGTGTCCGACTTAGTCACACCGTCCGCGGACCGGGGTTTCGCTGATCCAGCTCCCCCGTCCGGTTTCTTCTCGTCGAGCCTCTTCGACGCATGGCCACGACCGTCATGGCTCTTCGCCGGCTTGGCTGGCTTCTCCTCGTCTTCTACGCCGCCGTAGAGTTGGTAACCGGTTGCGAACGTCCGCAACCAGTTAACGAAGCGAAACACGTCGGAACGCAGCGGCTTGTTGACTTGCAGTTGCATCTGCTTCTTGACGCCGACTGGAGCATCGACGGTCGGACCGCCTTGACCATAAGGTCCACGACAACTTTACCTTCGTCCTTGAGGACCCACTCCTGGTTGTCCCGTTCTAGGGCCTTCATCAGCTCGTCGAGCATCTTCCCAACCCGAGAGTCGGCGTCCAGAATCTTCGTGTCGAAACGGATGGTCGCCTCTAGACGCCTCTTCAGGGTGTCGAGGTCTCGAGGCTCTTCTTCGAACGCCATAGAAAACCACGCGATCCACTCAGACTCCGTGATTTCGTCGTACGGCCGGTTGAAATCCCACAGCGCCACACGGCGCTTCGTGAAGTGGTCCACACATGCGGACACAGGCATCACGAAGGGTCTACAGGGAACGACGGAAATCCTTCTCCCGTGGTACTAGTGTAATATCTTGATATTTGTATATGGTAATATTATTTCGATGTTGAGTTTTGCTGGAAATTTTATTGCATTGCACTTTTTCAACTGGTGACGACTGCGTTTTTATTGGTCAAAATTTTGCAATTTCGTCGTCAGTGAGTGCTCTATATCAGTATCAAGTGTATAGTTTTTGTTTGACGACTGCAAGGTCAATTTGTATCATATCATGTGCTTGGACGTAGATACTGTTGTCATTGATTGGTAAAAAATAATCTTTATTTCCAGAGGGTGATTTTGGACGTCGATTATATTAATATTCCAGAAGTATGGTCGAGTACCACGGGGGAAGGATTTCCGTCGTTCCCTGTAGCGCCGGCCGTCTGTAGCGCGTTGATTTGGCTCACGTACTTCTGGTAGGCGCGCATAAAAACGCGGCGCTCTTGCTTGGTCGAGCCGCTAAAGCTCGGAGCTTGGGGAATCGCCGGCGCATGAAAAACATACGGGACGTCTTCGCCCATGTCGACGTCATTCTGATCGCCTTGAGACTGCGACGGCTGTTGACTCGCTGTCGCGCCAGTAGTTCGCGGCGGCGCTTGTCTAGTCGCCGCGCCGCTAAAGTCCCCCTCCTCACCAGCTGGTAGAGGCACTTGACTGGGGTCTAGCGGCCAGCCACCGGCTGCCGCTCCTGCCGCCGGAGCGTAGACAACGCCACCTCTCCAGGGCATGTTCATGTCGATCGGCTGCGGCTGTCGTCGCCGCGGGGATCGGAAGGGCGCAGGCACCGGCTGGAACGTTCCACGGCTGCCGCGCGTCCGGTGTCGGGAGGAAAGACCACGCTCCCTCGACCGCGACCTGTCGTCGTCGCCACGTGGCGAACGCGATCGGTCTTGTCCGTCGTGATCACTATCAGCCATTCGAGACTCGTAGTGCACTAAAGATATATTTGTTGTGAGTCCGCCGCGCCTTGTCTTGTCCGAAGGCGTCTTCTTTCGGGAAGCAATGCAAATCCAAACTGGGTTACTTCTCATTACCCTCATAGTCAATTCCCTTCGTTCCCCTCAATAGAGTAGCAATTTACCAGGACGTCCAGGTAGTCTGTACTCAATCATCCCGTACGAATCCATCCAACATCCAGCAACCGACCTCAGCAAGGTTGAGCTGGACTCGCGGCGCACTCGACCAGAGCAGGCACACCTGTCGACTTTACAGAGGCGCAAGCCGCCTTGGCGAAAGCACTTGCCGCGCAAGTGGGCCTGGCTCGAACACCCGTCGTGGGCGCATCGGCGGACGGCGTCCGTGGGTCCGTGCTTGGTGCAAAAGTTGCCGACGAGCGAGTTGGCCGTGCAGCATCGAACTAGCACTGCCGCTTGCCGCCGTGTCGGACACATAGGCTGCGAGCATGCACTTGCTTGTGGCAGGCGTCAACGAGGCAAATGCCGCGATGGTGGTGGAACAAGCACTTGGTCGAGTGGGGAGCAACGAGGTTGGCGCATCCGTTGACGAAGCAGGACGTCATGATGCTTAGTGTGAAGTGCAAACAGCATATGGAGCGATGCTCGATCAAGATCACCACGAAAGACATCCATCCGGAGCTTGTCCAGACCAGTCTTGGAAAGCAATCGAGTTGTAAGCCTAGCGGGGCTGGTCTTCGACTATGTGAACTCGAGATGTTCTCTAAAGTGCTGTTCTCGCGAGGAAGGTGAAGTTTGTTCGCACCAAGTGCATTCGTCACCTTGAGCATGAACGTAGTCATGCCCCCCAGACAATCTGGCCATGGGCAGCATTTCGAAACCTTGACCAGGGCGAACCGTGTGCCAACTGACATTTTGTATTTCTTGCAAGCACTGCCAGTCTGAGGATTTCTCCGTACGTGGTGGGCAGGGTAAGCTAGCGAGAGGTTCGCTGACCTTGTCGAAGCAGCACATAGTGTTTGAAGGAGTCGCTTGGGTGCAAGTTCCTCCACAAAAAACGAGTGCAGTGGTGTGGGATGAATCCAAAGTCGGGCGACTGGTGGATAATTTCAGTGCCCTGTCACCCACCCGTCCTTGCCAGTGTTGAATTTGCTCCCCTTGCCAGCGTTTTTAACCCGTCACGCCACTCCCAAGGTTGGCGGCACACAAGCCACTTGTTCCCCCTCACTGATTGTGTTGAGGTTGTCGCAGCGAAAAGTCGCGGAATTGCGTCGTCGAATGACTATGTCTACTGCAGACGACAACCCCCCCATTGTCTCTGGCTCGAACAAAATGATCACGTCTTCCGCGCGTCACTGAACCCTACGACTCCAGAGTCACTGGCCATCAAGGCTGCGCTGCTCGTACGCATACATCTTCTTCACGTCGCTAGACGATCGAAAGATCCTCAACTCATGCTGTCGCTCCGTTGGCTGCTCCAAGATTCATGGTGCGCGCGTTACGTGGTGCCCGAAAACTTCGCTATATTGACACTCGCCGCCTCCTAAGCTTGCAAGGCTCCGCACCGCACCAGAAACTACATGGCTAGAGAGAAGATCCACCCTCAAGAAAAGTCCAACAATAATGTATATTAACAAGAACTCATTAGACCACGAACCTTGAGACTTAGTTCTTCACCAAACTTCGAATGTTTTACAATTTGACGAAGCAATATTGTCATTGATTTTGT